TTTTGCCTAACAACATTTTACGTTGGTTACAAACACAAGATCTTGGAGGACGGGTTTAGGATCCAATTAGAATATCCTAATTTAATATCTAACAAAATCACAAAATAATATCTAATAAAATCAAACAAAATTCTACCCTCAAGAACTCTACCTATAAATATGGTTCATCATCACAATAATAAACTTCACATCTCTCGCTTCCTGTTTTTTCATTTTAGTATCATAATGTTTATCATACCAAACAAAAATTCTTCTTTCGTACTCTTTGAAAATATTTTGACATCAAATGAAAAACAAAAAATCAAAGCTCAAATTCTTGTCTTGTGGAAATCATTTAAACCCACTGAAAATTCTATTGAAATGGTTTTGGTAGATAAAGAGGTTAGTTATTTATATGCCAATTTCGTACCTTTTTTTTTAATTGAATTGCATACGCGTGATATGTATTTTTGTTCTCATGATATGTTTTGCCTTTGACATGTATTTAATAGATTAATATTGCTTCTCTTCATATGTATTGCTTTCCATGAAAAGTAAGATTAACCATTAAATATTTGCCTTGCATTAAAAGTAAACTTCAAAGAAATACTTTAATCTTGCTTCTCTTGAGATGTATTGCCTTGACATGTATTTTTTTGTATGCCGATTTCATATAAAAATGCACAGTTGGTTTAATTGATTTGCCTCTTCTAAAGATGATATTTTCATCCAATTTTAAAACATTAGATTTTTTTCATACAGGGAACAAGAATCCACACAACCATTGAAGATGATATGCTTTAAAAACATCAGAATGGTGTTAACGATCTCAAACAAGGTAATTGCGTGACGTTCAAAACTTTTCATCTTAAAGACTATTGTGGCGACTATAGATCCCAATTCCATATTTACATATAAATACTTTACAATTTATAATACATTTGATATTAAAATTTAACATATATAGAATCATATTTATACCCGCACATGCGGGTCGGTCATCTAGTATACCAATATAACAAAGGTGCTCGATAAACCGAATATTTTTTCCGACAGGCTCCGGCCTGGGCATTTAGCTAAAGCCCTAGTAAGAAAAATACCTTCTTGCAGAAAATGATCCCAATCAAATACAAAGGCTCCTAAAACAAAATAAACTTACCGATAATTCCAAAACTTTGGAATATGAAAATTTGTCTAAGATTTAGTAATACTAACAAATTAGTACCCATAAAATCCACGAACAAGCTTTAGTCTGTTAAGGTAACACTTTAGTACCTACAAATAAACAAACTCATAGAAACTCGAAACCAAATTCAACTCAGCCAATTACAAACAAGTTGATGATCATCAAACATATGAATAACATTCAATCCTTTTTATCATCACCCCAAGGAGAGCAAATCTTTTCCAGCCCTTTTCCAATAGAGCATCCGAATCCAGCTCTCTCCTTCTCCGGTGAGACGGACCGAGAACGCTTAGGCGAATCAGAATGCTTAGGCGAATCAGAACCGTCGCCAATTTCTTTCTTCTTGGGATGGATGGTCTCGATGACAGCCTCGATCTCTTCCTTGGCTCTCTCATAAACATTAGGAGCCTTCACTTCCTCCACCGGTGTATTCTCATTGATATCTTCACTCCTTCCATGAGTTTCTTTGTGGTGATGAAAATGATGGCGATGAGGTTTCTCCTTGTGCTGGAACAAAGATTTGATTTCTTCCTTCGCCTTTCTTATCATATTCGGCTTTTTCTTTCCATCCTCTGTCAAATGTAATAAACCATGTGAAACAAGATTTGAGTCCTTG